GTTTCTTGAGTGAAAAGGCTCCGTGTTGTATGTAGAAAAACGTCTCATTGTACAGGGCTGGAAGGTTCCGGGGGAGAATGATTTTTCTGGTGAGCTGACGGCAGTTGCTTTGACTGTCTAGATCTTGACACTGACATGTGAGAAAGGAGGCGCCTGTTTATTTTTTTTTTTTAAGATTTTATTTATTTATTTGACAGAGAGAGAGATCACAAGCAGGCAGAGAGGCAGGCAGAGAGAGAGGAGGAAGCAGGCTCCCCGCCGAGCAGAGAGCCCGATGCGGGCCTCGATCCCAGGACCCTGGGATCATGACCTGAGCCGAAGGCAGAGGCTTTAACCCACTGAGCCACCCAGGCGCCCGTGCCTGTGTTCTTTTTAAAAGGTCTTTTGTGTATTTATCTGCCAGAGAGAGAGAGAGAACCCAAGCAGGGGGAGCAGCAGCAGAAGGAGAGGCAGAAGCAGACTCCCTGCTAAGCAGGGAACCCGACTCGGAGCTCGATCCCAGGCTGATCATGACCCGAGCTGAAGGCAGACGCTTAACCAACTGAGCCACCCAGGCCCCCAGGGCTCCTCTATTTGTAAAGTGTGGACAGAAATGGGCTGTCCTCCTCTGACTGTGCTGCTTCGAGGGAAAATGTCCACACCTCCCAGAGCCACGGGACATTAAGTGCTTCCTCTGACACACCCTGGGTCTGTGAGCTGCACCCCATCCCCAGGACCATGGGTTCCAGATTTCCTAGGGGAGGGGCCATTTTCCCTTGAAGAAAGCAAATCTAGCCACATCCTCTGGAAACCTTGATTCTTTACATTTAAAAATCTACTCCATCTGGAAAGTATATACCATAAGGTAGGAAGCAACTTTGTTTTCTCCTAAATGGTTAGCCCAGTGGGTTTCAGATTTTGCTCTACATTAAAAATTGTTTTTAAAAATTTATTTTATTTTTTCATTGTTCCAAGATTTATTGTTTATGCACCACACTTAGTGCTCCATGCAATATGTGCCCTCCTTAATACCCACCACCAGGCTCGCCCACCCCCACCCTCCTCCCCTCCAAAACCCTGTTTGTTTCTCAGAGTCCACAGTCTCTCATACTTCGTCTCCCCCTTCAATTTACCCCCATTCACTTTTCCTTTCCTTCTGCTAATGTTCTCCATGTTATTCCTCATGCTCCACAAGTATGTGAAACCATATGATAATTGACTCTTTCTGCTTGACTTATGTCACTCAGCATAATCGTCTCCTGTGCATGTTGATACAAAAGGTGGGTATTCATCCTTTCTGATGGCTGAGTAATATTCCATTGTATATACTGACCATATCTTCTTTATCCATTCATCATTTGAAGGGCATCATGGCTCTTTCCACAGTCTGGCAATTGTGGCCATTGCTGCTATGAACATTAGGGTACAGATGGACCTTCTTTTCACTGCATCTGTATCTTTGGGGTAAATACCCAGTAGTGCAATTGCAGGTCATAGGGAATCTCTATTTTTAATTTCTTAAGGAATCTCCACACTGTTTTTCAAAGTGGCTGCACCAACTTGCATTCCCACCAACAGTGTAAGAGGGTTCCCCTTTCTCCACATCCTCTCCAACACATATTGTTTCCTGTCTTGTTAATTTTGGCCATTCTAAGTGGTGTAAGGTGGTATCTCAATGTGGTTTTGATTTGAATCTCCCTGATGGCTAATGTTGATGAACATTTTTTTATGTGTTTGTTAGCCATTTGTATGTCAAAAAATGGGCAGAAGACGTGAACAGACACATTAAAAGTCTTGATGCCTGTTCATACCTCATACCAGTGAACTTGGAATGCCAGGCATCAGCACTTGTAAAGACCCATCCCTCCAGGTGATCCCAGCATGCAGCAAAGTTTTAGAACCATTAGTTCAGCTAAGGATCTGCATACCTGTCAGTGAATTAGAATTTTTTCCACCTGCCTTAGGGTGACCACCCATTCTGGTTTTAGCACTGAAAGTTCTGTGTCTTTGGAAACTCCTCAGTCCCAGGCAAACTACATTTTATGGATAAAACTATGTAAACACAGATCTGTTTCTGGGCTTCTCTAGTTTGTACCAGTGCTGTCTGTCTGACAACGATACCATGCCATTTTAATTACCATGACTTCAGAGTCTATTTATATACTTGATGAGGCAAGTTCTCCTTAATTACTCTCATTTTTAGATCTTTCTCAGCTATTTTCACGTGTGGATTCTTCCAAATGAACTTAAGAATCATCAGGTCAAAGTTTCGATAGCCTTACTTTATAGATTGCTTTGTGTGACTCGTTTATAGGACCAGGGACTGTTCCATGTGACCATCATATATGCACTTTAGTCCTTGAGTCTTAGATTGTTCTGGAGGGCGTGATGTGTAGGTATGGGTGTACGTGTATCTAGGTATGCATGTAGATTTTTTCCCTCAAATGACAGAATTTGAATTTAAGCTGGAATTTGAAGTCAAGAGGTTCTGTGTACCTGAGTTTGTTCTTTGACAAGGGTGTAGAAACATGCAGTGTGCATGGCCTGAGGAGGAACAGAGACAATGTAGGGATAGTGTCACTTCCAAGGAATAGGAGCCAAATGTTGAGGTGCAGCTAACTGCCAGGCCCATTTGCCTTCGACCATCCTGACTCTCGAGGTGTGGGAGTCTGGCTGTCTCTCTGCCAATGCATTCAATGCATGCTTTGGGACCATTTGGGGGAATGTCGTTACTAGAGAATGTGTCCACAAGAAGGTGACTGCCAGGTTCTGTCAGTCAGTGTCCCAGGCATTAGCTATCCTCTGTAAAAGTAAGAGATCTGTTGTAAAATGGTAAGTGGCTGTGAGGCAGGTCAGAGCCTTTGATGCACCCTCTGGGCATCTATGCTTTAGTGACCACTGAGCCCCTTGATCCCTACCTGGGAATATATCTCTGGAATCAGTTTTGGGTTTGGGGACGGGGTAACCTGTGAGGACATTCAGCCTCTATGGGTTCCATCTCAGTGATAATATTACTGGTGTGGGGTATCTTGCTATTCTTTGGAATGCTCTGGAGAGGAAACACTGTGCATCTCTCAGTATCTAATGATTCTATTAAGACATAGCTGTCCATAAGCCCCTTGTAAAGGAAACTTCCTTGGACTGATTCACATGTTGGAAGCATGTGGCTCAGCCAGTAATGGTGCACACACTCTTGAGTGGATGGATGAAATAATTGTCTCCTCCATTCTTTTGGGAATATGCACAATGCTGTGACCGGCCATCTGGTAAACCCAATGTCACAGCAAAATGCGTTTAGGACACCACTATAAGCAAAATGCTGTGTGGGTGCTCTAGGGAATACAAAGCACAAAGGGTTTTGAGTTTAGGACTTTCCTGGGGAGATACAGTGAAAGAAAGAAAATGTAGCTCCTGGGTCAGAACTGCCATGAGAGCCCATGTCTCCGACCTCCACTCATTCTCTACTCCTGCTGAGCCCACAACCCACTGCTTCCACTGCCTGAATACCCCCTGAGCCGTGTCTCCTCTTTCATTCCTGTTGCTTTAGTTTAAGCCCTCATTTCTTTAAAAACAAGTTTTCATTGTGATAAAATATACATATCATGAAATCTAACCTTGTCAACGTTTTCATGGGCACAGGCTCTCATTTCTTCTCTCTGGACACAGGAATAAGTTTTTAAAGAATAAATGAACTGTGATGGAAACAAAAACAAGACGTATGTAATGTAAAAGTACAATTTAAAGAATAAAGCAAACAGGGGAGCCTGGGTGGCTTAGTAGGTTAAGCATCTGCCTTTGGCCCACGTCATGATCCTGGAGTCTTGGGATCACATCAGGCTCCCTGCTCATTGGGGAGTCTTCTTCTCCCTCTGACTCTCCCCCTTCTCATGCTCTCTCTCTCTCTCTCAAATAAATAAATCTTAAAAAAAAAAAGAACAAAGCAAATACCTGGGTAACCACTCAGCTGGAGAAACAAAATGTTAACCAACTGTTTGAATATCCTCTATGCCTTGATGCGGGATACCAGCCCCTCACTTGCCCTAGAGCATGGACAAGGAATAGACTTTTCACTGCCTCTCTTCTTCCAGCATCTCTTCTATGCTGGGTTTAGACAGATGAGCCTAAAAGAGAAATCCTGTGTCACGCACCTGCTGAAATTTGCCCGATGACTCTGCATGGTTTATGGGATAAAAATGCAGAGTCCTGGGTGGTTGGGTAAGGACTTCCCCAGTTTGGAGGCACAGGGTCTTCGAGGTGCCCTGTGATACCACGACCCACCTTCTACAAGCTACAGCCACACCCTCTGCCCTCTCCTGGGTACTCCCCTTCTCTCCGTGGCCAGACAGGCACTGTCCTCCCCTTTGTGTCCCCCTCCTGTGCCCTCACCCTGCTGAGCTCATGAGGCTAGAGCTCAGGTTCAGCTTCTCTGTATGGTGCTCGGCCTGGACAGGTCCTTGCAACTGTGGTCACTGAGGGAATCTGTTTGAGAGGGAGGAGGAAAGAGAGGCTTCTGTGCACTGGGGAGGGCAAGACAAGCTGATAGGGGAGGGAAATTGAGTGGGCCTTTGGGGAGCATTAAGGATTCAGACTTGGAAGTTAGCGTACCTCCTTATCAGACCTCATTATGTCTTCTGAATGCAAGCCTCTCTCTCTCTCTCTTTTTTGAGAACAAATAACTTGATCTGATGACCCAAACTGGGTGAGCATTTTCAAGAAGTCCTAAATGAGCTGGTGAGATTCTGGGAGAGAGGCAGTCTTCCCGGTGAATGTCAGGTGCTCCGCCTCTGCCCCTTTCCCTCCAGCCGTGCACATCCTCTCTTCTCTTTGATGTGGGCATGCGCAGCTGTGGTGGGGATGTTGCATTATCGGAACAGATGTGTCTTACCGTTGCCATTAAACAACATGGTGGCCAAACACTCCAGTGGGTCCCGTGTGGCTGGCAGCCCATGGCCTGGCACGATTCTTGGGGTGGCCATGCTTGGTGGGGTTCTCACTGTCCTCTCCAACATTCCTCCCCACAGTGGCTGCCTGCAGGTGACCATGGCTGTGTGAGTGTCTGCCATGGCCAACCGGAAGCGTCAGAGCACGGCGAGCAGCATGCTGGACCACAGGGCGAGGCCGGGCCCCATCCCCCATGGCCAGGAGCCAGAGAGCGAGGATGCAGAGTTGCCCCTGGAGGAGTACGTGCCCAAGGGCCTGGAACTGGCCACCCTGCGGCCTGAGAGCCCCACGCCCCCGGACCAGGGGTGCCACGACCACAGCCCTGATGGGGACTCCAGCTCTGACTACGTGAACAACACCTCCGAGGAGGAGGATTACGATGAGGGCCTCCCCGAGGAGGAGGAAGGCATCACCTACTACATCCGCTACTGCCCTGAGGACGACAGCTACCTGGAGGGCATGGACTGCAACGGGGAGGGGTACCTGGCCCACGGCACACGCCACCTGGAGACGGATGAGTGCCAGGAGGCAGTGGAGGAGTGGACAGACTCGGCAGGCCCCCACCCGCATGGCCACGGGGACGAAGGCAGCCCAGACTACCGGGACAGCCACCTACCCATCCCGGAGGACGAGGCCTCCGTCCTGGAGGCCCAGGACCAGGAAGAAGGTGTCCACTACTGCCCCAGTGAAGAGGGCTATGAGGACTACTACCCCACAGAGGCCAACGGGAATGCAGGCAGCGCCTCCCCTTATCGCCCGAGGCGTGGGGACGGGGACCTGGAGGACCAGGAGGAGGACATCGACCAGATCGTGGCTGAGATCAAGATGAGCCTGAGCATGACCAGCATCACCAGTGCTGGGGAGGCCAGCCCTGAGCATGCACTGGTGCGGGGGCCTGAGCCGGGGCCCGGGGACTCCACAGAGGCTAGTCCGCCCAGCGAGGCCAGCCATGGCCCTAGCAGACACGAGGGAAGGCCCAAGTCACTGAACATCCCTCCAGAGGCCAAGCACTCCGGAGACCCCCAGAGAGGCTTCAAGACCAAGTCCAGGACTCCAGAGGAGAGGCCGAAGTGGCCCCAAGAGCAGGTAGGATGCTGGTTATCACAGGGACGAGGGTGGGGGTGGGCAGAGGGACCTAGAGAGTAAAGGATGCTCTCCTGTCACCCATGTGGTTGCCAAAGCCTATAGTTCAAATATGCATTTAATTCTTCATCTGTTCCATTACGTAGCAGGTGTGTGGATGTTCTAGTGCCATCCCGAAGATGCCCCCCTCCCACTAGGGGGCCAGTAGGCCTCCCGCTAGGGTCTCTAGCCTGCATGCCCTGTGTCTGCTCAGGGTTGGGGGCGGTCCGTGTCACTACCATCCCCCCACCAGCTGGTTTCTTCAGGCCGACAGGACGTTGGCAAGGATGTGAGGCTGCTGGCTCGTGCAGGGTCCTGCAGCCAGTGATAAGGGACAGTGACCTGAGCACATGTCACAGGGGCCACTGTATTCTGGTGACACTCTTCCAAAAGCTCAGGGGCTTGGCCTTATGGGCTATTAACTGTAAAAAACCATTTTGAAAATAATTATGTGAAGGTTTGACAAAGGGGTGGAGAAGAAATGCTGCTGATGCGGCCAGTGGATTTAAGCATGACCGTATTCCTCTTCATTATATCAAAGTGAGCGTGTGTTCTAACAGTTGCCTTTGAAAAGCTGCTTTTCAAAAAAAAAAAAAACCCTCTGTGAATATATAAAGAAGATGTGATGATTGCACTTGTGTAAAGGAGCTTCTCGTTGGCCAATTCTGTGGGCAAATGAGAGCGAAACGCTTTTATATTTTTAAAGCCTTAATTATTATTTTTTTTCCCCAGAGGAGTCCATGAGTTTAAAAAATACATACATATGCTGAGAACATGTCTTTGGGACATGAGTCATATTCACTTGCTGCTAGATTTCTGGCACTGGCTTATTGATGCCTTTTGTTCTTTTTAGAGATTATTAAATGTGGGTTGACTTCACTGACAGGTGTTCCTGGAACTCAGGGCAGCTGTGCCTGCACGGGGGGCTTTGGGTTGTAGAGAAACTGCTGTTCCACCAGTGGATTTGGGGAGCTCCCCCCAAGGATGGGTAGCTCAGGGGCAGAGGTCTGGGCTTTAGGCCAAAGTGTCGCTGGCCATCTTCACTTCAGCCGAGTTGGACTCATGGCCCAACAGTGGCTATGACCCCGCAGGGAACTCATGGGGGCTGCCTGGGGCGGGTGACATAGTATGTTTGTTGTGGTGACTTTCCTGACAAAGTTTTGGTCAAGAGAACATAATCTTTAGAGCATGAAGGGGAGGGGGCACTGAGGGGAGGAGTGGGTAACTTCTCTCCCTAAATAGATTGTCTCCTCAAAGCAAATGCTCTTATTCAAGATACAGGAAAAGCTCATTTAGATAGGTTAATTATTGCATAGCTTTTTTTGATTTACTTATTCATTGGTAAATGACTTCCCTCAAAGAGAAAGACTGCCTGGTGATTCCCAGCTTAGGGCTGACAAGGGTCCTGGATGAATATGGGGTCTGAGGACTCCTTTGGAGGGCTCTGCCTCGTCTAAGCGAAGATCACGTGACCTGGGTCTTGACATCTCATAGACCCAAGTGACCCCTTCTCCAGATGAGGAACCTTTTGAAATTTGACCCAAAACAGCCACTATGCTAGGGTCATCTTGAAAGCAAGATTGTGTGAAGCAGTAGGTACAGTGGGAAACATGGGGACTCCTTGCTTCAGATCTCAGCCTACCTTCCTCCTGGAATCCCTGACTCCCCACATCCTTACCCCACCGCCCCTGCTGGGGACAGCCAGGCTATGCAGTGGGAGCCAACCAAAGAGGGGCCTCAAACGGGCTTCCAGGGTGCATGAGTCCCATGCTGGCCTTTCCTTGGGCCGTCTGCAGTTAATGTGGCATAGCCTGGGTTAAGGCTATGGTAAATAAAACCAAAAAACTCCTTCCAAAAGCTCAGTCTATGGGCCAGCCGCCTACCGCAGGAGGCTTCCACTGGGAGGAAACTATACAGCAGAGTGGCCCTCTTCTCTCTGACATTTCTTTTAAAGCTGGAAAAGTTATGTCGTGGCCACTCTGAAGAATATTGTGTAGCATTTTATTTCATCCTTGCATGGACAATGCCACAGTGGAATTAGAAATGCGAATAGGAGGAAGTTCCCACCATGGCTCCCACTGCCCTCCCAGGTGAGCTCTTTCTGTTTCCCTGTGTTCGCCTTCAGACTCCAGCACTGAGCATGAATAGCATACGTGGCTGTCACGTAGTCCAGACATAATTTTGCCATCCTCCTCTTAGAACCTGACACCTTGCAAGTATTTTTCCGTGTTCCCGTGTAATTTTCATCATCATTTTTACGGACCTTTGTCCCATTCAGGCCATGTGCCATCTCATTCATGCGTCTGCACAGACCCTGCTCCTGAGCCTGCAGGTTGCACATAGCTTTGTCTTCTATGCGTCCGACCTCCGGGGACATCTCCCTCCAAGTTTTCCTGCTGGTTTATTACGTGAAGATAAATTCCTGGAGTGGACATGAATGCTGATCATCTCCCCATATTTGTCTTGCCTCCTTATTTCTCCTTTTCTATGAATGTTCGATGTATGCCCTTTATTTTGGGGGAGGTCTGGGTGATTTTCTATTTCCTAGGAGTACTTTGTATGCTCTAGATGTTACTTTTTTATTAAAAGATTATTTATTTATTTATTTATTTGACAGAGAGAGAGAGAAAGAGAGAGAGATCACAAGTAGGCAGAGAGGCAGGCGGGGGGGGGGGGCAGGGAAGCAGACTCCCCGCTGAGTGGAGAGCCCGATGTGGGGCTCGATCCCAGGACCCTGAGATCATGACTTGAGCCGAAGGCAGAGGCTTAACCCACTGAGCCACCCAGATGCCCCAGATGTTACTTATTGCTACAGATATTTCCTTCAGTATGTTTCCTTTATTTATTTATTTATTTATTTATTTATCTGACAGAGAGAGAGAGAGAGAGATCACAAGTAGGCAGAGAGGCAGGCAGAGAGAGAGAAGGAAGCAGACCCCCACCAAGCAGAGAGCCCGATGCGGGGCTCGATCCTAGGACCCTGAGATCACGACCTGAGCCGAAGGCAGAGGCTTAACCCACTGAGCCACCCAGGCGCCCAGCATGTTTCCTTTTGTAAAGGTTCTGGTTTGCAGGCAGACCTCTCCCCTGCATGATGCTGGGGAGACCAGGACATCTATACTGGGTGGGGAGGGGGCACTATTATGAGAGAACCCAAATGAGATAGGCTCAAGTTGCCAAAAGACAGGATGGGATGGTGGGGGACAAGGGTCTGTGCGTTGAGTGTTTTTACAGAAGAAAGAACTATTTCAAAGCAGTGCATGATTATTGAGGGACATTTGGAGAACAGAAGCAAAAAAAAAAAATTTATATATTTTGTCACGTGGCAGGGCCAAATTCTATCGCTGAGTGTTTTTAAATCAAAGAGGCGAACTACCTGACAGGATTTCCCAAAGCATCCTGTTAGATGTGTTCTGTAAACAAAGCCAGGCAGATCCTTGTTATTCGTGGATTCCATTACCCGTGACCCGGCCTCCTCGCTAACATTTACTTGTGTAAGCTTCAAATCAGTTCTCGTCGCACCTCTGTGAGCATTTGTGGGCATGCACAGAGAGGCAGAAACGTGTGAGGCCCTCAGCGTGCACAATCCCAGCCGCATGTGAACAAGGAGACCCTTTGCCTTCTCGTCTCAGCTCTCACACTGCAAGCAGGTGTCCTACCCGCGATCCTTGTAGTGCCAGGGTATTTTTTGCATTTTTGTGCTCTCTGTGGGATGACGCAGTGACCCCCACGTGCAGTGCTGGCGTGCTGTCTGTTGCTTCTGAGCACGAGAAGGATGCGATGTGCCTTATGGAGAAAATACGCTGTGTTCAATAATTCATGTAGGTGTGAGTTGCAGAGCTGTTGGCCATGAGTCAACAATATGGTACAGCCAGAGAGAGGGAGAGGAAATTCGCCAATCCGTACACAGGGTTGCTCTGGGAAGTGCTAAAGTAATACGGATAGTGTGTGAAGAAACATCGGAGAAGTGGCTAACTTTGGGGGTTCACGAGATGACCCGCTAATAAAAAGAGCGCAGAAAGGTGCTGTGATGAGGCCAAGAGCCCGAGAAATTTACAGTCTTATTTTCCGAGGTCAGGGAAGTGTGAGACTCTTTGCAACCAGTTTTATTATAAAGAAATACTGGATATAATTACTTGTAAGGAATGCACGTTAAAAAAAAAGTGTCTAAATAGGAAAACACATAAAACAGGTGATGCGTTGATCGTCCAACAAAAATGACGACCAGAGGCTTTACAGGAACCTTATCCTGGATTTCTCCTCGGAGCTGGGTCAGTATTCACACACATGGAGATCACAGCAGGCTTACAGACAAGAACTCACACGAATAAGGAGAACCGACTGCATCTGATTGGCCAATGAGTTTGAGAAACTTTACTGCAAAGGTTTCCCATGTCTTTCGTTGTACATGTGCCGTGGGGCAAAGTCCCAGACTCACTATGACAAAGACACCTCCAGGCCCCTTGGCTAGTGTTGCCCCCCAAATCTGGATTATCAGGCCCTTTACTCTCCATGCAAGGCCTATCAGGAAAATACAGGCCAAGTTGCTCATCTTCAGGGATGGAGAGCCAGATCACACGATTTCCTGAGGTCTCTCCCTTCTTGGCTGTATCCCAGGATGACTCAACATCCACCCAAAATGCTGAGGACGGGAAAGGTGTTGCCTTTGTCACCCTTGGGGCCCTGGGCTTCTGAGGAGTTCATGTTTCTTGTCCTACCATTTGTGGAAATCCGTGGGTACTGGTGGAGGTGATGCCGGTGTCGGTGGTCATGGCCAGCATGGGGCTCCGGACTTCATGTGGACGATCTCAGTGAGTGCTGGAACATTCAGGAGAGGTAGAGATGAGGGTTATTCCCATTTTACAGATGAGGCCGTTGAGACTTTCGTGGGCTCAGTACCATACCCGTGGTCACACAACTCCAGGGCTAAATAGTCTGTGTTGCACCAAAATTCATGCTTCTTA